CGTCAGAAGCTGACGCTTTCAAAAGCGTCACGGATAAACGTTTTTAACAGCATAAGAAACGCTTTTGAAAGCATCAGCCTCTGACGCTTTCAAAAGCATCATGGAAAAATGTTTTTGACTAGGTTAAAAACGCTTTTAAAAGCGTCAGACTCTGACGCTTTCAAAAGCGTCAACTAAAAACGTTTTTTACCCCATCCTGACTGCATCAGGAAAACAGATCCCTACTTGCATCCCAAACTGTTTGACCACCACCTGAAACGGCCAGGATACGCGTAAAAATAGCCACCATCTCAGGCGGCAATCTGAAATTTTTGCTGGGTTTTCTTTGAAATTGATTGTGGCCATTTTAAAGGCACTTCAGAAGAAAAGTTCGGCTCAAACCATTTTTGAAGAAGAAGGGAACAACTTTCACCACTTGCACGTTGTATCAGGAGAATTCGCTTTAAAATCCTTTCACTCATTAAAATATTAGTTCATTTTTCTTTGCAAATAATGCCGGGAAAACGGTTTGAATTTTCTACTGCTGCTCTAAAAAAAAGTGACAGCAATTTATTTTTAGAGAGGAGCAAGATAAAAGAGTGCAGTCGAATTGGAATAATTTGTCTCTCCAATCAATCTTCTGAAAATCGGAGCCAAAGGATGTGTTCACAACCGGATATCGTTAGCGCCAATTTTCAAACACAAGGTTAGCACCACATTTTGCTATCACAGCACAAAAGAGACAGCGTTTCCATTTTTTAAAAAAAGCACACTTGTTGAGCCACAAACACCGAGTTTTTTGGGGGGACAATTATTTGTGTTTTTTTTCAAGGAAAGGTCTCATCAGAAGACTCCCCAAGGAACGCATTCACAGGGATTTGGCACATGGAAGACTTTCTGGTTCCAGGGTGAATGTGGTTCTCCAACAGCCATTCCTCTGTGTAACTCTCTGAGCCCTTATTGTTCTCCAACATGGTCTCTGGAAGGGCCATTTGGGCATCTTCTGATTCTTCAGTGCTGTTTCCAAGAATGTCCCTTCAAAACAAAACTAAAAATAAACCCAGCGTCAGGTCTATTTCCGATCAAATCAAGCTGCATGGTTTCCTGTACAAGTAACAAAACCCTTACTGCATGATCTAATACTCAAATTCTTCAGATAATCTGAAAATAAATTGTCCAGCTATTCAATGTTTAATATCTCCATTGAATTTTGAAAACTTTATTACTTCAGAATAGCACAGTACTGTCCAGTGTACAGTATTAAACTGTTTTTATCAGTCTGTAGTTTCTGAACAAGGACTGTTCATTTTATTGCATGATCTAGTATCAAAATGTGTAAAATGAACTGAAAATAAATCATCAAACTTTCCAACTTACAATATCTACACTGAATTCTGAAAATTTCACTACACTGGTATATCAAAGGGGTCAATTAAACGTTTTTGACAGAATATCCAAACATGTTTGTATCATCCCCTTAAAAAAAACTCAAATTCTTGCTTAATTGATTCTCTGGGATTAATTTTCATCAGCATAAAAACAAACCTAAAAATTGTAGATTAAGTTGCCTTGTACAGTGTGTAAAAATTTTATCCCTGGTGGGGAGGAGAAAAGTACCTACTCAAAGATTTTTTTAGCAGAGTTTCTTTCAAAAATGGATTGTGAGATTGTATGCACAAAGAGAAAGAGATGGAAATGAATTCAACAATAATTGGCAGTTGCGCAACCCGCTGAAAATAAGTGTAAACGTTTTTCTTGCACAAAAGATTTCTACACTTTTCGCAAAATCCATAGACAAATACGCAACAGCAAATTTCACTCATGAATTCCCTTGGAATTTTTCTGCAAAGAATTTCAAGCACAATAATGGGTCTGACAATTTGGGTCATCCTGATGATGTCAATATGGATGTCCATCCTCTTTTATGCCTTGTTATCCCCCAAGTCTTTTAAGAGGGGTTGTCATCAGCAATGCTAAGTACTTTTCCACCGGATCTTGGAAAATTTGGCCCAACTGTCGCTGGCCAATTTATTGGGATATGGCATGTTAAGTTTTTGTCCCAAAAAAGCTTCTTTTTGAAAATAGTTTCTGAGCAAAAAATCCTGTGAGAACAAATTTCTGGCCTCTTTCAGGCAAATTTGTCACAAGCCTTCTGCCTTTCCATTTTTGGCAGAGTATTGAGTTGTAAATCATTGTCAAATGTCCATGTTTTGGGTATAATTCAGTCCCTCATGAAACAGGGTGACTCCGCGCGGATTTTGAAGGAACCATCCTTCTAATGGCTCAACTGCTGCCAGATGGTTTTGTCATTTATCTTTTGGCACGCTGATCCACATTGGCACGCCTTTCAGAAATATGAATTTTGGGTGAGGTATTATCAAGGGAAGTAACTTATTTTGGTAATCAATTAGGTTTTTCAATCATAAGGGGCATTGTTGTGAATTTTGATGCTCAGGAAATGGAAAATGAATATTGACTTTTCCACAATGCCTATTATTTTTTCATCATGTTTCAAATGGTTCAGTCAGATTTGACAAGTATCTGAAAACTTTTATTGACAACCTCCACCATTGACCAGCTTTTTGTGAAATAATTGATGAGATTCCATCAAAGATTGAGGGTGGGGAGACATGAATTATGGGAATGAAAGAAACATGAACTTCTCAGCTGGATGATAATTTGCACAGGTTTTGCATTTTAGTATTCAACTGTTTCAAGTGATGGAATTTTTCTTGCTAAATTGCCATCAATCATGTTAGGTTTTTCTGTATAGAGCCTTCCTCAAATTAAATTTTCATTGATTCCTTTGCCACAGGTTTTGATGATATTGTTGTCATCACACTTGATTGATTTGAAGAAACAGCAAAGCACCCATTTTTTGAAGAAAAAACCTTATTTTGGTTTAGGAAACAATTTTTGGTGCACTTGCATTTCTCCACATTCATATTCAAAACTGGTGAAGATTCTGTATTTCTAAAAAAAACATGTACAGATTTCATTTTTAAGTGATTCAAAATTCAATGTGAAAAAAATCAGCATTGATTCAGCTTTCTAGCATTTTTTCATATCAAATTGTGACATAGAGACAAGTTTCATCAGATACAGAGATAAAATCTAAATATTTAAGTTCATTGTATATTGCTGAGCTCCTTGCATTTGATCCGTGAGTCTGAATTCAGGACTCTTCATCATGCTTCACTTTGACCTCACACCAATGTTTGATTGCATGAGGACAATGTAGTAAGTGATGACAACTGAAGTGATCTGTTGGAAAGTAATTCAGAGCTATTCAAGAAGAAACGTACATCTAAACATATTCAATTTTCCTCACAGTTGTCAGAAGACTGACATTTATTGAACATAATCCTCCAACATTGATCATTGATGCTGCCCTTGCTTCAACAGTGGCAAGATATTTCAGGTCCTATACTCAATGAAGAAACTTTTCTTAGTTTGATTGGATTCACAATAATCAATTCTCACCTCTTCTTGATGCATCGGATCACGTGCTGCTTGTCTCACAACAATTTTGACACATTCTTCACTCTGCAAGAAAAATGATCAGTTTCTGAGTTTCCATTTTATTTTTATAAATATGCAAACAATCAAATATAACCTCATGTGCGAGCCTTTGTCCAGCATAAGCATATGCAAAAATGAGCAAAATGTGTGTCAAGACAGGAATGATATTTGTAATAAAGCGTTTTTCTGTCATTTCTCCACTGTCTACAATTATCAATTGACAGTAACATGCCAGAATGATGGGGACTTCCAGCAGGATCCATAAAATAGCTGTTGAGAATACCTTCGTGATTTTTCCACATTCCGTTTTCAACAAATGCCAGTTCTGGAACAACTGGGATCTCTTCTCTGGGCTTGAATTTTCCAGTTGCTGAGATATTTTATGGAATTGTCCAGAAATAGATGCTATGATCAATATGAAATGATCAGGGAGCCAAAGAGCAGTTGTCTGGCTCAGAACAAAAAATACTTTCTCCACAGCATTTAAAATTGTTACAAGCAGTGATTTTTGCTTGAAAATTTCATCAATGTCATTTATTGAGATGCAAATATTGACCATCACAAGGACTTTGCTCATCAATGCAACAAAAGAAACTGTCCTGTTGTATGCAGGAAACTCCAACTTTTCAATGTCATGTTTTTCACCAACGTTCACCAGATATTTCCTCAATTTCCAGGATGTTACCATTGAGAGAAATATCATAACTAGTACACGGATTTTGGTGAAGATCCCAAATGCTATGAGAAAGTGGGCTCCAGTGTAGGAAGATATGGAAACGACTGAAAGTGCTCTTGAAAAGCTTAAAAGGTCACATATACCAAAGAAAACTTTCCCTGTGACCACAACCAACAAGTAAAACAACAGGATTTTCTCTCTAAAGGTCCAGTTTTTTCTTGACCTGGACAAAAGTCCAAATGATGGTAATGATCCTTGAATGACCAGAATGGCAGTGAAGGGAAAAAATCCTCTTGAGTCATAAACATCCACACACTTTTCTTGACTTAATTCTCTTCCATCTTTGCTTCTGTTCCAAGCAATTGTCTTGGATGGGTACATTTCAAACTCCTTTTAAAAAATTGATGTTTCTTGGATGACAGATAGTGTTAAAATGTGCGCAGAGCAGCCTCAAAGGTATTCTTTAGAGAGTATAAAATCAATGGGGAAACATTAAGACAAAAGGTTATTGATGTTTTCCCATCCCATCATCAATAACTTGTTATGGAAGTCAGTCATCAACTAATGGCATCAATTCAGACTGTCAGTTGTTGTCCAGTCTTCAAACTAGAAACATGGATTCCTCTTTCTTGCAAAATTTGAAACCTTTCACTCACATGCTGATGATTGAAGGATCCTTACCCACATTTGGAGTTTTAACTAAACCAATGGCCAAATGGACTCTCAAAGATGTGCTTTCCATGGGTTATTACATCTTGATGAATTTGTTACAACTCTTCTGCTCTGTCACAACTTTGTGTTTTTTATTCAAGTCATTTGCTGATCCCTTTTGGGGCTACAGCAAAAGCAACAAAGTGGAAGGAATTGGGCTACAAAAGTTGTATATGGCATTTATGCAACTCAACCAGGCATGTTGCCAGTTTTCAATCATGTATTCTTGCTGGAAGTTGAGATATTCTTGCAAAAACACATTGGCTGGACTAGGAGAGCCGTGGAGAGTTACCAAAAGAGTTTCTTGGGTGATTCTGATCATTGTTGCAGGAAATTTGATCAGATATTGGGTTGCAACTGTGAAATGGTTCAAAGTAAACATGACTACATTTCAAGACTTCCATTATTCTTCAGCAGCAGTGACTGGGAGACAGTTTATGACTGAGAGGATAAATTTTCTCCCTGATCTTTTTTTCCTGCTCATGATTTCTTTGGGGGAAGACTATAAAGCTTTGCTGAAAAATATAAAGAACGCGAGGCCAAAAGAAGGCTTAAAAGGCATTTTGCAACAATGGTTGCTATTGGGAGACAAAGGGAGAGTCTTGGGAGACATATTTGCTCCAACATGGCTGCTCCTGATAGCAAAGGCTCCTCTTCGAGTGGCTTTTCAGTTTGGCATAATCATCAGTCAAGGGTACAAAGAAATTGGTTTCACAGAGAGTTTCAGCTTTCTTTCACAATTTGGCTTGTTTTTGTTGGAGATTTTTTTGCTGCTGTGGTGTGGACAGTGGGTTTTAAGCCAGGTTTGTAACACTTATTTAATTACAATTTTTGAAAATGAAAAGTAATTGTGTCTTCTGTATTCTGAAGAGCGAACATTGCATGACTTACATTTCCCAACTGAAATGTGAAAATGAAGCAGATGCAGCAGAGGTGAAACTATAGTTGAAAACGGACAGTGATGCCCTGGTATTTTTTTCATACAAAGACAGCAATTAAATGCACGAAAAGCCCCAATTTGATGCTAAAAATATTGCATTCACTCAAAAACTACATATTCACTTTCCCATTTTGAAGAAAATTTGAATGTGCATCATAAGTGATAACATCATCTTATATTGTTGAATTGCTGTGCTTTTTAATCAATCTCAAAGAATCAAAGTGCTTCAATCATAGGCATGAAAATAGGTTGACTGGACTTCTTTCTCAAAATTTTCATGCTTTGTAGTACATGTAAATCTCATTGAAATAAAGGTCAGTTTAATAACTTATTGATTCTAAAAATGTGTGCTTTTATATTTCCCTGGCCAAGTGTCACAATATCTCATTTGAATTTCTTAGCTTTTTTCTTGACCCTAATACACGGCTTCATTGTATTGAGGTGTTACTGTAAATCTCCTTTTTTATTGGGTTATCCATTCAATGAAACAAGATATTCCAGAATTCATTTTGATTGATTTTGAAAAACTCAGCCTCTAGAACACATTTCTTATTTACTGCACAAATTTCACTGGCCTCAAAATATAAAAACCAGTTAATTTTTACTTTGCATCAAGGGCATGCTGAGTTGACTTTTTCAAATTTTAATTGCAGAGGATGAATGAATGAAAAAAATGTCCTGGCATTGCTGTCCAGAGGGAAAAAATCATGATCAAAAATGCATTCATGATTTCCTGCCACCAGATAAAGAACTTCATGATTGTTGCCAAAGCTGCGGGAGACCCCAGGATAACTTTGTGGGACTTGTGCAGCATTGATGCCAATTTGATGACAACTGTGAGTTTCAACTGGAATTTCTCTAAACAAATACTGTAATGTATTACTGTAAATACTGTTTATCCTTTTGAAAATTGCATATTTTTCATCATTTTTTCAGCTGGCATCTTTGACTCTGACATACTACATTGTCGTCATGGAGAATAACATTGGGGCTGAAATACTACCGTCCCCTCCAACCACAGAATACTTCAACAGCACACTCAGACCCTGATTTCATTCAATGCACTGCAAAAATGAAAACAAAACATTAAGATGACTGAAATAAAAAATACGGGAATTGATTTTCATTTTATTTGATAAAAAAAATTGTCTCCTCTGAAGCGCGAACTGAGGGTCAAATCGACTTTCGTGCTTTTTCTTTGAAATTCATTGCGGCCATTCTAAAGCCACACCACAAGAAAAGTTCGGCTCAAACCATTTTTGAAGCAGAAGGGAACAACTTTCACCACTTGCACGTCGTATCAGAAGAAATCACTTTAAAATCCTCTCAACGATGAAATTATTAGTTTATTTTATTTTTTATTTTTTCAAATAATGCCGCAAAAAACGGTTTTAGTTTTCAACTGCTGCTCTAAAAACAGTGCCTGAAAAAGTGATTGTTTTTTTTAGAGAGGAGCAAGATAAAAGAGTGCAGTCGAATTTGAGTAATTTTTCTCTCACATCAATCTTCTGAAAATCGGAGCCAAATGATTTGTTTACAACCGGATATCGTTAGCGCCAATTTTCAAACACAAGGTTAGCACCACATTTTCGCCATCACAGCACAAAAGAGACAGCGTTTCCATTCTTTAAAAAAAAACACACTTGTTGAGCCACAAACACCGAGTTTTTTGGGGGGTAAAATTATTTGTGTGTTTTTTTAAGGAAAGGTCTCATCAGAAGACTCCCCAAGGAACGCATTCACAGGGATTTGGCACATGGAAGACTTTCTGGTTCCAGGGTGAATGTGGTTCTCCAACAGCCATTTTTCTGTGTAACTCTCTGAGCCCTTATTGTTCTCCAACATTGTGTCTGGAAGGGCCATCTGGGCATCTTCTGGTTCTTCAGTGCTGTTTCCAAGGATGTCCCTTCAAAAAAAAAATATTAATAATTCAGCGTCAGGATTATTTCCAAACAAATCAGGCTGCATGATTTCCTGTTCAAGTAACAACCCCCTCACTGCATGATTTTATACTCAAATGCTTCAAATAATCTGAAAATAAATCATCAAACTTGTTATATCTCTACTGAATTCTGAAAATGTTTAATACAGTGGTACATCCAAGGGATCAATTAAAAGTTTTTGACAGAACATCCAATCAGGTTTGTACTATCCCAGTTTAAATAATCATCAAATTCTTGCTCATTCGATTCTCTTGGATTAATTTTGATCAGCATAAAAACAAGCATAAAAATTGTAGATTAAGTTGCCTTGTACTGTACAGTGATTCTTTTCAGGAGGTTGGTCTTTTCAGAACTTCTACAAAAATTGCCCTAGTTTCACGCTTCTCCAATTTATGCGCAAGCAGTGAGTTTGAAGACATTTTTCCATTGTTTGGAGGGTTTTACAGCAGTTGAATTTTTCTAAATTTTCCAGATGATTTTCAGAGAATGGCAGAGAGTCAGATTTCGTGTCCCAGTTCTGCGCAGCCTTCATAGAAAAAATTATTTTTAGCAAAAATTGAAGTCATACAATGGCCTACACATGCAGAATCAGTTCTCCTGTCCCATTATACTGCACAACCTCATCAGTGGGGAAAGAAAGTTGGCACATATATTTGCAGCAGCAATCCAAGGTCTAGAATGGCCTAGAAATAACCAGATTTCCTGTCCCAGTTTTGTGCAACCTCAGCAAGACAAAATATAAAAAAAAACCTACATTTTCAGCAGCAATTGAATTCATACATACAAAATGGCTTGCATTGAAAAAAATATATAAATAATACCTAGAGGAACCAGAGTTGTTGGTCTCAGGGCCATGGTTTAAATCTCCAAGCTCCTTGGCCAGGTCTCTCCCTTCCTCAGCCAACTTCTGAGTAATCCTGGCTTCATACTGTTGCAAAATGGCCTTCATCTGGGCCAAGATGGCCTCATCATTGTCCACACTGATGTCATCCAGCATTTGCTTCAGACTGGACTTGTCTTTTGGCTGAGGTACTGTTGCTGCGAGTGGAGAAACTGGCTGTTTGGCCTGAGTGAACTTGCGTTGCACTGCTGGACTCCTGGCACCTGCTGAAGTCCGACTTCGATTTGAGGACACTGATGTGGATCGTGTCCGGAATTCGGGGTCCATCTCTGCCAAAAGCTTTCTCCCTGAGGCCCTGAAAAAAAAACACCATTTATTTTCTATTGAACAAGAGATGGTATGGGCCAGTATTTCCCAATCTTTTTTGGGCCCTTGAACAAGTAAATTTCCACAAAATTTTTGGCAGCCTGCAAATTTTCCAGAAACTTTTTGCTGACCGAAGTTTCATAAACATTTTTCAGACTCAAAAAAGTTTTGTTTGAAAGACTTTATCACAGGAATTCCAAAGGTTTATGCCTTTTTGCAAAAATCAAGTTGAAAACCATTGACTCAGCTTTAGTGGAATATCTTCAAAGATTAGAAAGGTGGGCTCAAAGAACGGTTCCTCAGAATGAAAAATGTTGAAAATGTTTTAGGAGGTGAAAATTTGTCGGAAGTATTAATAGGTTACTTTTTTAACGAAATAATGTATACTGCCACAGTCTTTCAAAAATTTCAGATACAGATAACAGACTTGATTGCTATTTCGGATGAATGTATTACATATTTTAGAAAATTTTCCTTGGACCGGCAAAAAAGCAAAACAAATCATATTTTCTTGGTCTATTTGAATCATCAATTAATTCAGAAAATATAACATAAGAAAAGGTGCAAGTGAGATTACAGGAAAAATCAAGACCTTAGGTTCAAGCATTTTTTCCTCTTTTTCCAGATCCTCAGGACATTTCTGAGGCAGGAGAAAACATTCATATCTTTTTTTAAAGATGTAGTGTAAAATATGTCATATTTGTTTGACAGGTTTTGATTTCATGGACAGACTCTTCACACCTTCCAAAGGATTCAGTTCCTCTTGTCTCAAAGACACTGTTGTCCACTGAACTTCTTCTTCCCCTTGCATTTGCAGCTCTGGAACTTTTGCCTCCTTTGCTCATCATGTGTTCTTTGTTGTTACCTCCATTCAGAACATTGGATGCTGAAGATGAGTTCATCAGGGCATAGTTTGTCCTGACAGCTGATAAAGGACTTGCTGTTGAGACACTCCTACAGATTAAACAGAATGAAAAACTCCATTGATTCAAGTTCAGTGGATACTGAAAATATTTTAGAAGGGTGAAATTCAGGTTTTAGATTTTATCAAGATTTTTTCATAATCCAAATATTGGATTATCATGAATGATGCATATATATATGAACACTAGTTTAATGAAACTACAGTATTTCAAATTTTATGAATAAACCACTTTCACCAGATCTGATACATGTACAAATAAAATGATGTTCTTTTTTGTTGGAAAAATGGCTAACATATGAAAACTATATGCTCACAAGCAGAACATTTTCAGTTTTACGCATCAAACATCTTGTAGGAACTTCATGGGAAATTAAAATCCATGAAGGAAGTTTACTGCACAAAATCTGGTACACACATGAACTTAATCTTTCATTGTACAAAATTTAGTTAGTAGAAAAATACAGTCAAACCCCAATTTAGTGCCAATTTTGTGGCTTGGATCAAGAATGGCAATAAATCAGGGTATGAGAAGAAAATTCATTTGAGGATTCCTATACTACAGGTAAAGCAGGCTTTTTTGCATAATTCTTGTCCATTCAGTCTGTTTTATACATATACAGTATATGAAAAACAAAGGCAGCATACAAAATGGAGGGCCCAAATGGACTGTTTTTATGGCATTTAAATTTATGTTATACTTATAAATATGTTAAATTTTTTCAGAAATTGTGTCAATGAAAAGAGTGGAACTGTTTCTTGTAGTTTTGTATCAACCTTTCAATGGAAGCACACAATTCCACGGTAAAGTGGAGTGATTTTTAATTTTTCAAAAAGACTATCCCACTTATTGAAATGCTCTTTGTCGTGGAGGACATTGAAATAAAACCACCAAATTCACACCATGTAGATTCAGAAATACAACTTTTAAAATCATGCTTAGAATGGGCATGTGATTCAGAGTAAGAACTTAAATGATATCACTGGAGATATGCCCCAATTTCTCTTATTCCTGTCCTGTATGAAAAATAGACTAGAAGTTTTTTGTGGCACCAAGTAGTGAGTTGGCACTAAACCGGGGTTTCCCTTCAGAAGACAATGGAGGGAGATTGGTTCTATGATAGGACTATATTATGAATATCAGTACCTCAAGCTTTTAGGAGTAAAAGCATCTGCTGTCAAGACAGGGATGCGAGACTTCTTGTTCCCACTTTTGCCAATAGATGACACTGATGCAGAGCGAACCTTGTTGTCTGATTTGCTCAATGGATGTAAAGCTGTGGCATCGGTGGTGACATCTGGTGAGGGTAGGTCATCCGTCGATACTGTTGAACTGCACTCAGATGACGCCTGTGTCATTCTGCTCTCTGGGCGATCTATATAAAAATTGGAAAAATAATCTAATAATTGAACAACAGAAACAATTTCAACTCAGAACAATTTCAACTCAGAAATGCCTCATGTTTGGAACATGACAGCTTTAAATAATATGCGGGTTCACCTGGTCTGGACAAAAGAGGAAACTGATGTCATTAAAAAGAGGAAAAACATGCTCTGTTATCAGAATTGATTATTTTCTGTGCACTGCTTGAACTAACAAGCCTTCATATCTTGCACATCCATATTTGGCATTACTGAATTGATCAGCTATGAATTGGGGAACAGCATTTTAATGGTTGATATGTTGATTAAATTGTGAGCAGTGTCCTTTTGAATAATGGTGCACAGCATAATCATTTCCCCACTGCTGATCAGTGAAGCCTTTGAATATCATGAATGCAAGTATAAATAGTTGAAGCACTTTCCCAGCAAAGACAAAAAAATATCTCCACTCAATTTTTTGGAATCAAATTTTTTTTTACTGGGATGATTATGAAATGGAAAATCTGTCAAAATATTTTAACCAGGCTCAATTTCAAGTTTCAAACATGCTTTGATATTAGTTGGTCTTCATAAAATGCATTTTTAATATACTTTGACTAGGAAGATTGGTCTAGGAATTGAAGTTTAACTTCAAAAAGCCCTCATAAAAATCTATTTTCATCAGATTAATTTAAAAATTGATTTTGAAACTTTAAAAAATCGAGTTTTTCCTCAGTTGGAAAATATGTCCATGTTTTCTGATCATTTTGGTATTAATTGAAGACCTGGTTCAAAAGTCGAAGTTTCACTTGAAAAATCCATGAAAAATTCCCACTTTTTGCAACATTGATTCAGAAATGCCACATTTTTTTCCTGATTTGACTAGAAAGGGTGGTCTTGAAATTAAAATATATGCGGGAAATACGGTTCATTCATGTGTACGCAATTTTAAATTTCAAAAATGTTTTCAAAATTGATTTAAACTTTTTTTATTTTCGCATTCACAGGCCTGAATCAAATTTAATATCCGTTTGAAAAATCCTTGTACAATTACATTTTTATTGGCTACATTTGGAGATTCTAATGACAAAATATATTTAGCTTCATGAAACCCGTTCCATCTTTTTACTAAAAAAAACAATCGAGTTCTTTCAAATGGAATTTTCACCCTCATCAAAAAATACGTTTTCATCAAGTTCATTTGAAGATTCCGTTTAAAATTCCAACCCCGGGTTTAAAATTATTCGACCCTCATGACACGAAGAGTTTCCGCATTGTCACGGTTTGAATGAAGAAAAAAAACCCCGGCCTTGAAATTTTAATTCTTCCGGTGAAAAATTCCGGCGTTCGAATCAATACCTTTTCTTCATTTTCAAACCTTCTAATTTTTTTTTTAAAGAAACTCACTTTTTGGAACATCCAGTCCTGAATCAGTGGTGTCACTGTCCTGGGTGTCTGTAACGATGGCAGGCACACTGAAAATCCCCTGATTGGAATCCGTGAGTGAAGATTTCCTGCTGCTGTTCTTTTCATCTGACCAAGATTGAAAAAAAAAGACAGGTTTAATTATCAAAATTATTTCCTAAATTTAAGTAGAAAAGCCGTTCGACGAGATCGTGATACAAAAGTTTTTGGTCCAAGAATCAAACGTTTCTTTTATTTATTAAATAAATAAATACAGAAATAAAACGGAATCTTTCTTTTCGACAGCACGGTTTTTTTTTATATCTAGAATGCATGAAGAAGCTGGCTAATTAACCCAAAGGCGCTCATTTTTTTTTTCTTCCTCTCATTCTTTCCACGGTAATTAACGCGCTACGCTTTGACTCCGGTACTTTTGAGGACGGTGTCATTGCCACACTTTACAAAAAGATTAATGGCTCAAAATCTGGATTAAAATCCGAATTTCGACGTACTCTGGTTTTCGTCAGACTGATGAGAGAAAATCCCGGGTTTTTCCGGCCGGGTGAAGGCACGGCTCACACCGGGGCTGCTGGTGGGTGGTGTCCTGGTCAGGCTGGAATCCCTGCTGCGAGATGGGCTCTGTGCTGCTGATGACCTTGATATTCTGGCTGTTGCTCTGTGCGAAAAAAATTTTGTAGAGTTTCAGCAAAACAATGGCCAAGTATCATCACAAATAAACTAAAATTGTGATATAATAAATTTTTTATAACATTGCTTGAAAAATGGGGGAAATTGTTCCTGAAATCAAATCCCACTTTTTATTATCCTAGCAAAAATAGAAAGTAATCGAGCAACAATAGAAACAAAAATTCGCAAAAAATTGACACATCAAAAGTAATTAACAAAATCTCCCAAGTAAAACTGTTTCACCACTTTTCTTTCTCAATAAAATCGTAATTTTCTTTTGAGAATCATTTCGACATGGCTCAGATGGCTTTGGACAGAATTTTACTTTTCAACCAGAGTAGGACATGCAACTTGAAGCAAAATCTATAACATTTGATAATTTTGAGGGAAATAGTAGAAAATCCGACACATTGAAATAATTCAACAATTGATCTTGATAACAACATTTTTATATAGGATTTTGCCCAGCTGGGATCTATGCACAAAAAAATCTGTCATTAACAAAGGACTCCTGGTGGAGTTATTTTATTTGTGGTACTCAGTTTGAGGTTCCAATATTGAGTTTGAAAACATTGAAACTAGAAGCCTTATGCCATGCCTATTTTTTTCTACCTGATTTTCCGGTCTAAAAACATTAGACAAGGTTCACATAGATAAGAGTTTTATATTGACAAACAGCTATAAATCTTGGTGATGATTGATGAAATAAAATTTTTGCAAAAATATTACTATGGAAAATGGGGAAAAATTGTTCCTGAAATCAAATCCGAGTTTTTATTTTCCTGACCAAAACAGAAAGTAATCAAGCAAGAATAGAGACAAAAATTGCACACAAAATTGGCACATCAAAAGCAACAAAACCTCCTCAGTAAACACAATCTTGGTGATGATGTCCCATATATGTATGAAAATCATTTTCCAATCAAATGAAAAGAAATAATAGATATAAATAACCAGATATATTGTCATTTCTGGTTGGTGTTGCTGAAAGCCAGAAATTTCAACAATATCGAAAAATGTGAGCTAATAAAATCTGTAGAAATATAAAAACACAACTTTGAGTTAGGATGTCATGAAGGATGTCAATTTCAAGGCACGGCGCAAAAATATAGATAAAAGAGCAAAAACTTTTGAATCACCCCTCGCACTTTCAAGGACGTATGGCGTCAGAACTTTCCCTGGAATTGCAGGGAAGGCACATGTGGTGCAAGTAAATGTTGAGAAGAAGAAGAAGAAGAAGAAAAGTACTGTACTAACCCCTTGAGGGCGTCAGCAGTCGCAGGATCGTATTGATTCCTGCGCGGAGACACAGAGCGCCTGTGGGTGGGCGGAGTGGACAGCAGGGTTGCCCCCGGTGCCGGTGTAGGGGTCTGAGGCTTATTGCTGTTGCTGCTGCTGTTGTTGTTGGCTTGTTGGGCTGATGGCTTCCTCACAAAACCCGGCGATTCCGACCTTCACAACAAGAAAAAAAAATTGTCAATCTAATTCCCACACAAATTTCATATTGGCACTATTTTTCAAAGAGATTTTGAAAAAGTTGGCATTTGCCTTGCTTTAAATGCCAATTCTTTCATCAGATCTAAAGTGGGGGAAATGAAGAAAGCAGCAAATGATACCTCAGTATTTTCATTGTTACTAAATTTTAAAAAATGAAAAAAAAATTTATTCACTTTTCTTTTTGCCAATTCCTTCAGCAGACCGAAATTAGCCAGGGAAGTGAGGACCCAGAAGAAAGCAATAGCAGCAAATTATACTAAAGCTATTTTTATTTTCAAAGAGATGCAAAATTGCAAGAAACTCTTTCTGAGAAGCAAAAAAAAAGATACACTTGAACCTCTTCAAGTCAAAACTGCCTTAACTCAAATTATGATGATCACAATAAGCCAATGAAATTGAGTCCAGTGCAGTTAAAATAACCTCCAGTAGATCAAATCCTTTTGGGTCAAGCCTCTTCTAATCCAAATTTGAAGGTAATTTTTTCACTGAATGTGCGAAATTATTTTAGAACAACTGTTGGAAGAAAGTGAAGCAAAACTACAGATGTAAATTATTTTCATTATGCTCTCCACAAAATAATAGGCATCTTCCTGCAGGTACGACATCTATGAACAATGAACAGGTCCAATCATTTGGAAAAACTCTCTCGAAATAGACTTTTCTGGAGTCCCTTCAAATTTGATTTATGCTCTGCCAAGTCACAAATGGAATTTCCTGACCACATACTGGATTAATGGACGTATTCCCAGACCAATTTCATGACATATGAGATATGACTTTTAGCTTTCAAAATCTAATTCGAAATATTTTTTTTCAAAGTAGCATTAGAAATATTTTTTTATTTGCAAAAAATTGTAGAAAAAGGAAGGAAGAAAAAAAAGAACCTTTCGTAGCTGACAAGAGACGGATTGAGACTGCCGTCCTTGAGACTCTGCTTCATAAAGACCTTGCTTGACATGGTGCCTCTGTGACCCAGGCGACACCGGCATGGGTCATGCTTGTCCAAGTAGTGCTCCAAGGTGTCCCAGCCACCGCCAACACGCACCATTACATGGCTACGCAAAATCTGAAGCACCCAAAAAAAATATGTATCAATACACACACGTTAAATCTTGTTGAAAAGAATTTTTATGGACCAAAAAGAAAAAAAAACATTTTAATCAAGACATTTTAAAATTGTTTTCCAATAAATTGGTCGCATATGTGATAAAATGCGAGTTATTTATGTTTAGGGTGAAAATTATATTTTAAGCAGACATTTTTTGAGATTAGAAGAAAAGGATTAGATTCAACATTTTTTTGGGAATTTTTAAATTGTTCTTCCAAATATTGCATCTTATCACTTTTTAAAATCCAAATTTATTTCTATTTTCAAAAAAAAAACATTTTAGAGAAGAAATTCGTCAAAAAAAGGAAATTGAGATTTCCTCTAAAATTTCTGAATTTTTTTTTCAATATTCCCGGTTTATTTTTTGAAATCCAGATTTTCTGGTGGACAAATAACATGTTCAAGCAGAACTTTGTGAAAAGAAAACACAAAAAGTTTAAATTGAAATTTCCTTGAAACATTTTCAAACTGTTTCATTTTCCAAATACTGCAGGTTCATGTCTTAAAATACAACTTTTTCTTTTTCAAAATTACGTTTTTAATCTGAACTTTTTGAGACCAGACAAAAATAAACTTGAAATCAAGGTTTCCTTGAGAAAATTGTGAATATTTTTTCAAATACAGTATTACAGGTATAACTCTTCAAATCTAATTTTTGTGTGTAAAAATTGAATTGTCAATCTGAACTTTTTGAGACCAAAAAAAAAAATGAAATCAAGATTTCCTTCAGAAATTTGAAAATCGTTTCTCCAAATACTGCAAGCTCATTTCTTATTAAAAAAAATTTGTGTGTTGAAATTTTTGTTTCAATCAGAACTTTATGAGAAAAAAAACTCGATCAAGATTTTCTTCAGACATTTTTCAACTTTAATTTCGCAGATTTTTCATAAAATCCAGATTTTCTGGGGGACACATTGCAACATGTTCACGCACAACTTACAGTGACCAGAAGAAAAAAAAAACTTGCTATCAAGATTTCTGAGAGAAATGTTTAGATTGGTTTTCTGGGAATTGTTTGTTTATTCCTTCGAAAAAATCCACATTTTTTTGCGCATGAAAAAATCACACAGTGTATCGAAGATTCTCAAAAATTATTTATCCATATTTATTGATAAAATTCGTATTTTTCTCTTCGATAAGAAAAACTCGTTCCGAAATATTTCTATGAAAATTGAACAAAACCACAACTTTGAGTATAAAATTTTGATTGCTTTTTCACCCGAGGTTGATATTCATTTTTGTGAGTTTTTAAGAGAAATTTATTGTTCACTAAGGTTGAATTCGACCAAAACCACCTGTTGTTTTATGGCCTCTTTTTTTTCTTTCTCACCTGACTCTTGATTAAACAGCCTTGAAGGAAGAAGCTCTTTCTAGTTGCGGAAAAGGCAGTGCTTTAGCTAATGACAAAACCTATCTTTCTGTGTTTTTTTTTTAAATATTCATTTCCTTCTTCTTCAAAGAATTGCGTGATTATTCTGGGATAAGTTTGTTTTGGTGGTATTTTATGTTTGTCTTATACTCATCTCGCGAATCGGTTACACGCTGAATGTCCTTCGCGGATATTTTAAAGCTACATCACTAAGCTTTCTTCTTGAAAGGGAAATGGATGATTTTTTTTTCAAATGGAGCCCGTGTATATTAAAGTAACCACTTGCAGCATCAGCACAACATCTTGAATAGAAAAATTGGCAATGGATTTAAAAATAAATAAAAATTGAAGGTTCCGCGCCAGAATTGTTATTTTACTTTTTTTTTCTTGGATGAGTCTTTGAAGAGTTACATCATTGAACTCTTGTTTCGAAGTCCACGGAAAAAAATATTATTTTTTTGAGTGTGCACGATAAAATTTCGAAAACGTATCTCTCGAGAGAAAATCGTGACAGGAAAGGTGCAATTTTGGAAAGTGGGCCATTTTTCTTGACAGGACAGACTTGGATTTTGTGAAAGAATCCATTCCAATTAGAGTGTGTGGAAATTTAAAGAGTGGTCCGGAAAATGAATCAAATATCGCTTCATAAAACGTTTGTCAATCGTGATTCATTTATAAATCACACAACTGACGATGAGGGAGTGAAATATTTTCCTGAAATCAATTACGTATTTTAAAAATTTAAAGATTTGTTGAAAAGTTTAGGGCACAAAAGGGAAAAACCTGGTGATTCCATATACTGAACTTATTATTTTCTTTTTATTTCTATCGAATCTGGATTAAACGAATAACCGATTACAATGAAGTAGTCTTTTAGGTCCCAGCCCAATATAAAAAATATTGAATCAGTCACTCATTTACAAGGAATTTTTCATTACAACTAATCTCAACGGCTTCGTTATAACAAGATTTTACTAGGAGACTATCTCGTTACAACGAAGTGTTTAGGACTTGAAAAAGCTTCGTTATAAGCAAAAATTTGCCAAAACAAAATTGAAATAACATTCTTGACTTTCGGACAGGGAACAAAATAACCAATTTGTTGTAAGCATTAATTCAGTAGAGCGAGTTTCGTTATAAAAAGATTCTACTATTTCTATCCTTGATTGAAGATGTCGCTCCTTTTTTTGTTCATCAACAGGAATCTTTTAGTGATTTTACCTTTTTTGAGCCGACGGAATGGCAAATTTCCATAAAAGTTTTTGCAGACCAGAAAATTTCCCAAACATTTTCTGCAAACTGATAAAGTTTCATGAAATGTTGGCAGACTCAAAAGTTTTGCATGACACTTGGCAGACTTTATGGCAGGCATTTAAAAAGTTCATGCTTCTTTTGCCCAAAATTATGAACCAATGAAAAACAGCAATATAGTTCAATGTCTTATAAAAAAATTCGAAAGGTGGGCTTGAAAAGAGGTTTCTCAGAATGCAACATTTTAAAACTGGAATTCATTTCAGCAGGTGAAAAATTTTCTTTAGTGTTATTATAAGGAGGAAACCTAACTTTCATTTTTTTTCATCCGATAATTTTCACTGCCATTGCCTATCCAACATTTCATAAAAAAATAAAAGACTCCATTGCTACTTTCGTCAATACATTATGCAGCATAAAATTTCCAGTTGACCTGCAAAAAAGTTCTGCAGACCGGTGCTGGTCTGCGGACCATTGGTTGGTAACACTGTTTTAGAACAGTGTTCCCAATCCTTTTTGGGCCTGCAGACTGGCAAATTTCCATGAAATTTTCTGCGGGCCGGCAAATTCACAAAAAAAATATATCTACAGACTGGCTAAGTTTCATAAAATTTTTGCAGACTCACAAAAGTTTTGCTTGAAAGACTTTATGAAAGGTATTTAAAAATTACTGATTTTTTTCCACAAAAAAAATTAAGTTGATCACCAGTGAAGAAGCTATAGCTGAATTTCATCAAAAAATTAGAAAGGTGGGCTTGAAGAGAGGTTTTTTAGAATGGAAAATTAAAATAACCAATTTCAGCAAGTGAAAATTTTTTCTGAGAAAAGCAACATTAATTTTCATCACAAAAATTTTATGTGTCTTTGTCCTTCCAACATTTTAGGTAAAGAGAACAGATTTCATCCCTACTTTTGAAAAATTTTATTATGCTGAAGATTTTCCGCGGACCGACCAAAAACCTCTGCGGACCGGTTGGCAACACTGTTTAAGAGCACTTCGACGACTTACACGAACGTAGATCATGACCTTCGTGTCTCCAATTCGATATTTGCCTTCAGCCACGCGTATCATTGGAAATTGCACAGGGCACAAGCACCGCTCCACCAATTCGCGGACCTGCAAAAAATTGCAAATATAATCATTAATAAATGTTCAAAGGACTCTTTTCTTTCATACGAAAATCAAATAGATTTTCCGATGCATCAAGAAAACATTATTTCAAAACCTGCCGTGGATTAACGCAAGGCAGACACATTTTCCTGTGATTAAAAAAAAAAGAAAATATTCGTTAGGAAATTTTAGATTGGTGCCAATATTTAAATTTTTGTTTTAGCTCATTGGTTTTCAACTTCTGCTCCATATTTCATCTACTTCTTGAGAAAGAAAAAGATAAGGCATTTCCTCACATATTCTAATTTAATGGAATTTTATAAGAAAAATTAATCCAAAATATTGTTGAAATTTCCTCATCTCTTTGAATATATATATACTGTAAATATTCTGGAAACTTGAACAAAAGGCAAAGAATTGTCAAAAGCGGTTTTCTGTCAATGATTCTTGCCTGCTTGTAAAATTGATTTAGTGTGTTTTTTATAATTAGTACAGTATTGTGGGTAGTCGGAAGTAACTTTTTACTTAAATCTACTAATAAAACCTTTACTAGCTGTTTACTTCCCAGAACTTAACCCGATTTCTGTCATTGAACTATGTATTCCTTTACAGGCAACTGCACAAAAATATTTGGCAATGAACAAAAATTTCGTTTTTCCCACAACTGGAATCTGTTCGTAATTTATATGTGAAGGTACATTTGAAAAAAAAGCTCAGAAACTCTGCTGCTGCAAAACAATTCAGGATTGAATGATTGATTTTGATTGAATATCGTGAACTTTTTTAAAATTCAATTTCTGGGTTTTCTGTGGCTGTTAACAGTGCATTTTTCTCTTGGTAAATAAAGAGATCTTCAGTGAAAATCCCATCATTATTTTTTTCACACCAGAAGAGTGTTTTTTTTTCACAGTTCCATGCAAATTTTAGCACCACGGAGATGGATTGCCTATTTTTTTGCGATATCTCCCCAAAAGATTGTGCAATTGGGAATTTCTGCTGGGATTGTTAACGTGATGAATGAGGCAATTTTTTCATTCATAAATATCATAAAAAAATGCTGTTACAGTTTCTTCAAAATTTCAAGTGGGTTCGACAAACATTTTCAATTTTTTTTTATTTCTTTGGAAGCTGAAAAAAAAACACTGGGCGTCGATTTGTAAAATTTATTATTAATGCAGGGCTTTTTTCTGAATAACCGCACAATAAAAATTTGAATAATTCCGGATAAAATGCGGCAAAACTTCTCAAAAAGTGGCACGCGAACGTGTTTCAATTGGAAAATTTTCTCAAATTTTTGAGGAAACATCGTCTTGTGAATTTCACAAGAAATCTTTTCTTCCTCGAGATTGCTCTCGATTTCCAAAGCATCGCACTTCTGAAATGTTCTTTTTATTGAAGAGAAAAACTGATTAAGAACACTTTTATGTTTCTTTTCTGAGAAGAGGAGATGAACTTCTGCAGCGGAACGCTGATGGAATTTATTTTTGGCAACACAATGCTTCATTTTTTTTATTGCACGAGGTAAAACTGCCATAAATTGAAGATTCAGCAATCCTTTTTTTTTCTTCTTCAGGTTCTCCCCTTTCTAAAGATGAATTTTGTAATCTCTTCCTTCGTTTTTATCGCCTGTGTAATTTTATTTCTCAACCATGTCCCATGACGCAACGGATTCTTGCCTCGAGGTTCACTGGGCTCGATTTTTCCTTCGTCAATCGCTTCGGGGTTCAGAATCAGCCAGAAAATCACAACATTAAAAAAATATATGGAGGATTTCAAACATAAAATACCAGTGTTTTTTTATTCTCCTCTCTCGAGAATGTAATCTTTATCTCATGGCGATTTCCTGAATCGGAGTTTATTCAAGGGGAAAAAATCTGCATCGACGTCGCAAGAAGACTTCTTGAGGGACACGTGAATAGATCTGCATAAATTTTTAGATTGTGATACACAATCAGCTTCCATTTGGTTTTTTTTCCTATATGGGCTGGTAAAATTCGAAAGAAAATAAATATATATATATACTTTGTTATTGATGAGGCGAAAAAGAAATAAGTCAGACGTGGTTCGCTGACATTTTGATGCTGACACAACGAGTTCACCGACTTCTTTAAAAATGCTCCAGGCGAAGTAAGAAGCTAAAGCTTCTTGTCGTAGCAAAAAAAAAAGTTATTTTTTGGTAAAGTTTTGGACGGTTTTCAACTACATAAACAAATTGAACCGTGAGAAGAAATGCACGCACTTTGAAATCAATTTGGGGTTTATCAGCCATGAACTGCAACTTTTTGAAATTCAATTTATTCTCAAGGATTCTTTCTCAGTTTAATGAATTTTTTTTCGAGAAAAATGCTCGGAATTTCTTTTTCATTGTTTTTTTTTCTTAATCAGATATACTGTACTTAGACTCGGAATTTTCCGGAAGCATTTTTCCCTACTGAGGACGCGTGGAACTGGGACAGGAAATATGGTTGATTCAAGTACACAAGTCCTTCCTTTCTCAATTCATCATTTTTACCAACACTTTTTTTGTAAACCAACCCTGAAATTTCATTATAAGCATTGTAAGTGTGCTGGCTGTTTTTGGATCATTTGAAGTCCCGCAAAACTAGGACAAATCTTGTTCAAACAATAACTTCAACTTTTTTCAAGCAAGTGCAAAATTTGTGATGCATCCTTTTTCTTGTAGCTGAAAGTCTTACAAGTGAGAAAAACTGAATCAGAGAGTAGAAAAACTTGACCCAAGAGAATCTTGTAGCAATAAATTCGCACTTCGCAACAATATTTTTTTNTAAAATACCAGTGTTTTTTTATTCTCCTCTCTCGAGAACGTAATCTTTATCTCATGGCGATTTCCTGAATCGGAGTTTATTCAAGGGGAAAAAATCTGCATCGACGTCGCAAGAAGACTTCTTGAGGGACACGTGAATAGATCTGCATAAATTTTTAGATTGTGATACACAATCAGCTTCCATTTGGTTTTTTTTTCCTATATGGGCTGGTAAAATTCGAAAGAAAATAAATATATATATATATATATATATATACTTTGTTATTGATGAGGCGAAAAAGAAATTAAGTCAGACGTGGTTCGCTGACATTTTGATGGACTGTGTTGCTCAAGTGGCTGAAGAAATTTTTACGAGGTCCGCTTCATTCTTCGATTTCGAAGAACAGCATCGTTTTTTTTTTCAATAAAAAACCATTTCAAAACCTGCCAAAAGTTGATGTATTTTAAATTGAACCGTGAGAAGAAATGCACGCACTTTGAAATCAATTTGGGGTTTATCAGCCATGAACTGCAACTTTTTGAAAATCAATTTATTCTCAAGGATTCTTTCTCAGTTTAATGAATTTTTTTTTCGAGAAAAATGCTCGGGATTTCTTTTTCATTGTTTTTTTTAAATCAGGTATACTGTACTTAGACTCGGAATTTTTCAGAAGCATTTTTCCCTACTGAGGACGCGTGGAACTGGGACAGGAAATATGGTTGATTCAAGTACACAAGTCCTTCCTTTCTCAATTCATCATTTTTACCAACAATTTTTTTGTAAACCAACCCTGAAATTTCATTATAAGCATTGTAAGTGTGCTGGCTGTTTTTGGATCATTTGAAGTCCCACAAAACTAGGACAAATCTTGTTCAAACAATAACTTCAACTTTTTTCAAGCAAGCGCAAAATTTGTGATGCATCCTTTTTCTTGTAGCTGAAAGTCTTACAAGTGAGAAAAACTGAATCAGAGAGTAGAAAAACTTGACCCAAGAGAATCTTGTAGCAATAAATTCGCACTTCGCAACAATATTTTTTTATTGTAGCAAAGGCTTTTTTCTAAGTCCCAATGGGTTTGTTGTGGCGGGATTTCACTGCAGCTCAAACCCATTTCTAGAAAGAATTTTTTCTTGAAAAATGGGACTCTTTCTCTCTTTTCTTTGCAGCTCTCAAATTTTGAAGACCTAATGTTCCATGCGTCCCTGAAAGTCAAGTATACCAGTAGTAATTCTCTTTTTTTCCTGCCCCATAAAGCACATGCACTTGAATAACAACATCAGCATATATTTTTCTTGCGACTTGAGGGAACTTGAATTCCCTCAAGTGATAAACATTTTATATCAGAGAATAGAAAAACTTGATCAAAGAGAATTTTGTATCAAAATTTCTCACTTAGCAACATTTTTTTTTATTGTAGCAAAGGTTTTTTCAGACCCTAACAGGTTTGTTTTAAAAGATTTTACTGTGGCTCAAACCCCTTTTTAGAAACCCTTCCCCTTGAAAAAACTTTACTATTTTTCTGTTTTATTGGTCTATCTGAAATTTGGTGCTTATTTTCCCATGTGTCCCTGAATGTTGAATATACCAGTAGTGATTCTCTTTTTTCCTGCCCCATAAAGCACATCATGCACATGAATAAGAACATCAGCATATATTTTCTGGCAAGAACTGATTGTGAAAAAAACCGAATCAGAAAATAGAAAACTTGATCCTAGAGAATTTTGTTGGAACAAATTCTCACTTAGCGGCATCATTCAATTTTTTTTAGAACATCAGCATATATTTTCTGGCAAGAACTGATTGTGAAAAAAACCGAATCAGAAAATAGAAAACTTGATCCTAGAGAATTTTGTTGGAACAAATTCTCACTTAGCGGCATCATTCAATTTTTTTTTAATCGCAGCAAAGGCTTTATTCCAAGTCTCAATAATGTGTTTGTTGTAAGAAGATTTTACTGCAGCTCAAGTCCTTTTCAGAAAGCATTTCTCCTGAAAAAAAATTGCATTATTTTTATTTATTTTTATTGGTATCTCCGGAATTTTTGGGGCTTATTTTTTCCAGGCGTCCCTGAATGTCAAGTATACCAATAGTAATTCTCTGATTTTTTTTTCTGCCCCGCAAAGCACATGCACATGAATAACAACATCAGCATCTATTTTTCTTGCGAGATGGATGCCCAGTGATTGTTATCTCAATTGCCTGTTTCAAATGCGAGCAAAGGAATGCGGACTCTGCCTTTATGGCCCAGTTTAGTTGCGGCTTAATTAAAAGAATAAAATCCCGGGGGGCTCTAATTGCTGGAGTAATTCTACAGCTCATTAATGCTTTCTGTTTGACAGAGAGATTTCACGGAGTCTCTTTTGTTCCTTCTTCTTCGCCTTTCTCTCGATTTGAATACAAGAAGAAAAGAGCAATTAATCTTGGTTGGCTTTTTTTTTACGACAATTTTGAGTGCTGGTGTCTAAAAATAGACAAGAATTCAAGCTTCGGTCTTGGACTAAGTACCAAGTTGATCATCTCATGAATAAAAAACCACGTGCTGGGTTATGAGGGATAGTTCAAAAGTTCGGTCAGTGTCTTGAAAATACGGCTTTAGCATAAGAGAACTGGACATTTTTACAATTTTGCTGAATCAACAGCGCAATTGACTTGTGTGATTTCTTTCGAAAAAATTTAAACTTCATATTGAATAGGATTGGCGAAGAGTGTACCGAAATATTTGCGATATTTTCATTATTAATTCTAAATGTTTTTGTCAATTAAAATTGAAGATGTGTCAGTTCCTTTCTTCAATGTCAAACTGAATGACCAAAATTTTAAAAATGAGAATGATGAAATTCGTCAAATAATCCAAGCGTTCCATTGGAATCAAGTTTTTCCCTCAGAGAGCCATTTTGGGATCAATAACAGGAAATAACTCATTATATTTCTTGAAAAAAATAAACCTGTCTTTTGAAAACATTGGCATTTCATATTCAACTTCACTTGTATACACATTGCTAAGAGCAAGGGAATTCGTTTCATAAAAACATGGTTGTCCAATCTGAGAAGTTTTCACCAGGATTTTTAATAAATTGAAAAATTGGGTTGAATCCACTCTCAAGTGTCTGTTTCATTGCCATTTAAACCAGAGTAAAAACGAATCTTGAAAATATTGATGAAGAAATATTCAAAATATTGCTGTGTACAAAAATATGACCATCTTTATTGATGAAGAAATATTCAAAATATTGCTGTGTTCAAAAATATGACCATCTCCATCAAAGATTTGAACCAGAGAATCAAAAGCTGCCACAACTTATGAAGGAACCCTTGCCTTGCTTTTGTTTGAACTTGAATTCAGTTGTGAGCCCTTTTTTATGAAAAATGTAGGTTCAAAGCATTGCTGCTAAAAGATGTTCATCTTCATGACTGACTCAAAACCAGATAATCAAAAGCTGCAAAAACTTATGAATGAGCCCTTGCTTTGCTTCTGGTTGAACTTAAATTCAGTTGTGAGGCCTTTTTTTATGAAGAATGTAGGTTCAAAATATTGCTGTTGGAAATATGTTCATCTTCATGACAGACTCAAAACCAGATAATCAAAAGCTGCCAAAACTTATGAATGAACCCTTGCCTTGCTTCTGTTTGAACTTGAATTCAGTTGTGAGGCCTTTTTTAATGAAAACTCCCAAGTCCTTTGAAACACATGGCCTCTTCCTGATGCTTCCAAGTTCTAAACCGGTTTTTCTTTATTGACCCTAGTGTATTTTAATGAGGAATCATGTGGAAGACCGGGTTGATTGGAAGAATGGTTGGAAC